TTGAAGGACAAGTACTGGACAAGTAGTCCAGATGAGGCCTCGCCAATACTGAACAAAGCCAAGGTATATAACTCAGTATACTATTGGCTTTTTTTGAAATGTGACAGTGACAGCCAGGTGGGGGAGTGCAACTGAAGTGAGCCTCTTTATGGTGTCCCTCAGGGAGCAGGCAAGAAAGATATGGGATGGGGTGGCAAAGCTTCAAAGCATCCTTTGCTATGAGGACTTCATTGATTCAGTGCTGAAGGAGACCTCTAGCACTGTGCAGGAAGGACTGCCAGAGGTGGCACTAGAAAAGGAAGAGGACATGGACTCCCAGGAATTTGGAAGCTTGTGTCCTCTGGCAGCAAGCAGAAGTCTTCATCTCCATCTGCAGTGGTTTGTCTAGAGAACAGATATGGAACCCTAGCAACAGAGGAGGAGGAGCAAGAGCACAGTCCATTGGTGGAAGAGGCAAGGTCAGGCATCCCCAAGGTTGGGACAATCAAAACCATTGCCACCAAAAGGAAGCAACAGGTGGTGGTTGGAAACTCCATTCTGCAGGGAATGGAGGCATCCATTTGCCAGCCTGACTTGTTGTTTTGGGAGGTTTGCTGTTAGTGTCAGGCTCCAGGCAAATATGTCATGGAAGTATTACTGAGACTTATCTGGGCCTCTCACTACTACCCCATGCTGCTCATCCATGTGGACTTGAAGTATCATCCATGATACTTCCAGGGATGATCTTGAGCAGATCAAAAAAGTGACTACAGGGCTCTGGGTACAAGGGTGAAGGGGACAGGAGCTCAGATGGTATTGTACTTTATCCTTCCTGTCAAGGGGAAGGTCCTAGCCTGGAGTGGATGCATCCTACAGATGAATACATGACTGCACACATGGTGTCACCAGCAGGGCTTTGCCACCTTTGACCATGGGAGGTTGTTCCAAGAGGAAGAGACAGGATTTACCTGATGAAAAGAGGGAAGAACATCTTTGCAGACAGCCTGGCTTATCTAGTGGGGAGGGCTTTAAACTAGGTTTACCAGGGGATGGAGACCAAGGCTCTGAGGTAAGTTGGGAAATGGGTGACCTGAAAGAAGCACCAGCAGGAGGGAGGCCTTCTCATTCTTCCTGAGAAAGTAAGGCAATCAGCTACTTACCTCAGGTGTCTGTAGATAATGCTGAGAGCCTGGGAAACAACCAGTAAGAATTGGAAGTCCTCACACAGTCACAGGATGATGATGTTATGAAATAACAAAGACTTGGTGGGGTAGCTTGCATGATTAGAGTACTGTCATGTATAGGTACAAACTGTTCAGCAAGGACAGGCAGGGAAGAGGAGGAGGAGTTGCACTTTATATAAAAGATCTGTATGATTGCTCTGAGCTCCAGTATGAAACTGGAGACAGGCCTGTGGAAAGTCTCTGGGTTTCAGTCAGAGGGGACAGCGACAAGGGTGATGTCATGGTGGGTGTCTGCTATAGACTCCCAGACCAGGAGGATGAGGTTCTTTAAACAGCTAGCAAAAGTTTCCTGATCACAGGCCCTGGTTCTTGTGGGGGACTTCAGTCATCCTGACATCTTCTGGGAGGGCAAAATAGCAGTGCATAAGCAACCCAGGAAGTTTCTGGAGAGTGTTGGGGACAACTTCCTGGTACAAGTGTTGGAGAGGCCAAGTAGAGCCTAGGCTCTTCTTGACTTGCTGCTCACAGCTAGGGAAGAATTGGTGGGGAATGTAGAAGTGGAGGGAAACTTGGGCAGCAGTAACCATGCGATGCTTGAGTTCAGGATCCTGAGGAGATGAGAAGGAAGGAGAGCAGCAGATCAGGGACCCTGGACTTCAGAATCAGGGACTGTTTAGAAAAGCTGAACATGTACAAGTGCCTGGGGCTGGATGTGATACACCTGAGGGTGCTGAGGGAGGTGGTTAATGTGACTGCAGAGCTGTTGGCCATTATCTTTGAAAACTCATGGCAATCAGGGGAGGTCCCAGCCAACTGGAAAAGGGCAAATATAGTGCCCATCTTTAAGAAAGGGAAGGAGATTCCAGAGAACTACAGACATAAGTCAGCCTCATGTCAGTCCCTAGGGGCAGGCGGGGGGGAGGAGGAAATCAATAAGCAGGTCCTCAAGAAATCCATTTCTAAGAATGTGGCTTGCTTACAGATGTTATAAAAAAATAAAAATAAAAGTGTTTTATTGGAAGAAGCAGTGTGTTGCTCCAACCCAACTCTGTAGCATCTGTAAATATCAGGCACTTTACAGGCTCTTTGGCACTTCCAGCTAAAGCTGATTAAATCAGCTATTGGATAAAATTGCAAGAAAAATGCCCCACTCAAGTGTCTGATCTTTACAGACATCAGACAAACCAGGTTGAAGTAATGTGCTGCCTCTTTTGAGCATATGCAGGGCTCAACATGGGAACACACCAAATTTTAAATAAAGAGCCATTTAATTTTTTTTTTTTTTTTTTTTATGTCTGCAAGCACTCCTGGAGGAGGAGGTGACTAGGAACAGTTGGCATGGATTCATCAAGGGCAAGCCATGCCTGACCAAACTGATTCTCTTCTATGACAAGATGACTGTCTCTGTGGATGCAGGGAGAGCAGTGGATGTGATATACCTTGACTTTAGCAAGGTTTTTGATACCATCTCCCACAACATTCTTGCAAGCAGTAAGGAAGTATGGGTTGGATGAACAGACTGTAAAGTGGATAGAAAACTCGCTGGATCATTGTGCTCAATGGCCAGTTGGCAAGTGGAGTGGGCTCAATGGCTGGTATCAAGTGGAGTGCCACAGGGGTCGATCCTGAGACTGGTTTTGTTCAATATCTCCATCAATGACCTGAAAGATGGGATGGAGTGCACCCTCAGCAAATTTGCAGATGACACCAAGCTGAGGGGGCGTAGTACATATGCTGGAGGGTAGGGATAAGATTCAGAGAGACCTCAACAAATTGGAGGACTGGACCAAAAGAAATCTCCTGAGGAATATATACACATACTTTTTCACACTGCAATGTGCTGGAGATCTAGTATGTCAGAGCAGACTCAATTAATCAAGTCTACTCTGCACATGAACTGACACATGCTGCACTGCATTGCTTGCAGTTGTACAAGGAGCAAAATGCATGTCAATGCAGAGAACATGGCAGCAGTGTGCTTTTGAACTATAACACTTCAATGTGTTTTTCTTCAAAAGTGGACCACTGTCATTTTCTGAGCACTGACATGCATTTTGCTGCTTAGACAATTGCATGTCGCAGCACTGGGTGATTTTCGACATGCTCAGAGGTGTGGCACATGCATATGTAAAAATGTTCATGAGGTTCATTAAGGTCAAGTGCAAAGACCTGCACATAGGATGGAATGATCCCATGCACTATTACAGGTTGGGGCCTGACTGGCTAAGCAGCAGCTCTGCAGAAAAGGACCTGGGGGTTACAGTGGTCAATAAGCTGAATATGAGCCAACAGTGTGCCCTTGTTGCAAAGAAGGCTAACAGCATACTGTAGGAGCATTGCCAGCAGATCAAGGGAAGAGATTATTCCCCTCTAATTGGCACTGATGAGGCCACATCTGGACTCCTGTGTCCAGTTTCGGCCGCCCCCCCCCAGCAAGGATGTGGACAAATTGGAGAGAGTCCAACAGAGGGCAATGAATTTGTTTAGAAGGCTGGGGGACATAACTTATGAGGAGAGGCTGAGGGAACTGGGGGTTTTTTGTCTGGAGAAGAGAAGCCAGAGGCGGGATTTAATAGCAGCCTTCAGTTACCTGAAGGGGGGTTCCAAAGAGGATGGAGCTAGCCTGTTCTCAGTGCTGGCAGATGACAGAACAAGGAGCAGTGGTCTCAATTTGCAGCAAGGGAAGTTTACGTTAGATACTAGGAATAAACTTTTGTTCCTAGGAGGATAGTCAAGCGCTGGAACAGGTTACCTAGAGAGGATGTATCTTCATTCCCTGGAGATAAGTAACATTGGCCTACTTTTCTAGCGCTTTCAATATTTGGTAATAAACTATTCCCTATATACTAATTTCAACTACATGAGTAAAGAATAACTATTGCACTTTAAATGAATGATATACTGCAGCTAAAGAACTGGTCTTTGGAGTCAGTATGTTTTGAGCCCTGTTCTACTGTTTTCTCCTGACTTTATCACAGATATTATCTGTGATCCAGGGACTGTAATACAATTTCCTTCTCTTTTCATCTTTTTTTTTTTTTTTTTGGGGGGGGGGGGGGGGATATTTTGAGATCTTTTGGTGGAAAATGCTACATATGTAAAATAAATAAATATAAATAATGGCTTTGATCAGACATGGACAATAGTGGTGACAATTTTTTTTTCCCCTCTGTTTACCACTAGTCATTCAGTGTACTTTTTATGTTCCCCAAATTTGACTTTCCTGAAACTCCCCTTGGTCACAAAGGAGGGAGACAGTTAAAAAGTTGTCTGTTTTTAAACAGAAAGTATTAACAGTTTAAATGAAGCTGTGGGCAAAATAGCTATTTTTGGTGAGGCAGCACATAAAACTTGGATGATGACACAGTACAGAATTAATGATTCTGACATCATATATAAAACAAAACTTCAAACTATGCAAAGATTGGGTGATGGAAGAACCTCAAAAGATTAAAATATTTGGCTGAACCTATAGAATCCCCTTTCAAACCAAATAGCTTTTAGTCCTCCCATAGTCCAACTCTAACCTCTACCTGGTATTACTTTCCAGGAAAAGGACTTCAGGCCTTCTACCTATGTAAAGACACACTATGTTTGTAAAGGGGTACATTCACTAAAGTCAAACACTGAGCCACGTCACTGCATGACTAACAAACTTCATATAAAATGCAGCCACTGGTATTGTGAGAGAGAATGAAAATGGCTTTTACTGTCCCTGCAATACTATTTGGAATAACAATGAGTAATGTAATGAATTTGCTTGATGTCTCATGAATCTTGTAGGAAGCAACAAATTGGTGGTCTTTCCATGACAGAAAAAAAATAATCACCTCTTACCAGTAAAAAAGCAGGGCTAACAAATTTCCAACATAGTCTCCAGTAGAGGCCTGGCTTAAAGCCCATCATTTCATGGATATCTTTACTGAATCTGTCCACACCTGTAGGTTAAACACAAATACAGTGGATAGTTATGGAATTAGGTAAATGGAAATGTTTCTTCCAAAGTAGAGGCTGTATATGGGTGAAAATCCAACTGTAATGTAGATAATAGGAGATTTGCCATTGATCACCATATGGCCAGAGTTTCATCATATTTGCCTACCAGCTTGGGACTCTATTACAAATAGAATTGCCACTGAAAGATGCATAGAGGAACACAGCTATAGTTTGACTTAAGCCACAATAGATTTCTAACATTTAAATGGTGAAGTGAACACACAGGGTTTTGGTTTTTTTGATTACAGGTTTGTTATAATCAAATTACTCAACCTACTCATATATAAAATAAAAGAAGAAAGAAAAAGGAAAACCCACACAAATTATGCTGATAGCAAAGTGGAGCCATATGTTTGCTACTTCTTCATAACAGCCTTTACTCTGCATCCTTTTTTTTCTTAACCCTGAACTTTTCACTGTATTTCAAGTGGGAAGAAATACATATTACCTTTGTTACTCCTATCATTTCATCTTTCACCAAATTCTCAAGAGTTTAGCCAGGAGCTTCTCTTTCAGTTTGTACTGAAACTAGGACATAAAGGCATGACTCAAGTGTCTCATTTGAGATCTTCTAAAATACTGGGAAATTACTCTGTTATAAAAACTATTTTTTATATAACTAACACCTCTTGCACACTCTCGGTATTTCTAATGTAATTCTGACAGCATGAGAGAGATCTTATTTAGTATTTTTGACAGATACAAGATTGAAGGTACTTGAAACAAAAGCTGTCTGTGGAAGGAGACACAGTATACACAGATGTAGTCCAAGTTTCTCCCATACTGCCTCATCATTTGGGCTAGGGACAGAAGTTACACATAAACCAGTTTAAGTCATCAGAAACTGGTTTAAACCTGTAATAGAACAGAAGCTCAGTACACATAAACCAGTTTCAAAACGGATGAAACTGGTTTAAGATAAACCTGGTTGAATGAAGTATCAGACTTAACTGATCTGGGCCAAACCAGTTTACGCAACTTCTGTCCCAGATCCCTTCCTGGTTCAAGTTAAATCACAGTCCTACAACATCCCTGCATACTTTCTAGTTCTGGGCTGGGCTGTGCTATCTGCTTTAGAGAGCAGGGCTGGCTCTGCCCCTCTGCTCCCTAGCTTGAGCAGTGATGGATAGCTGACAAGGGGGTGGGGTGGGGGGGGCTGTGGGCAAGCCCAGCTAGGGATGCAACCCAGTCTACGGTGGGGGGGAGGGAGGAAGAGTAGGAGGTGAATGACCCCCTCAAGCAAACCCTGGCTGGGGTCTGGAACCAGGAAGGGGGGGGGGGGGCAAACTTCTCTTCCCCTGCTCAAATTTACTGCCAGCTGCAACTGTAGACTACAGAGGCACTTGGAAGCGGGAAGAGGAAGTGATGATCAACCCTGCAGAGTCCTGCTGCTATAAATTTGGACTGCAAATCCCAGAGACCTCAGGGGCAGCAGGAAGAGAAAGTGAACACACAACCAGAGAGCCTGCTCTAGCACCCTCTGGCTTCTGGCCTGAGCCACTGCAGGCATGTAGCTGCATTTCCTGAAGGTCTGTTCACTTCTGTTTCAATTTAATCTGTGCAGTTTAGACTAACCTTCAAAGACTGAATTGATTCAGCCTTGGGCTTTTTTACTGTCTTTACCTAGCCATAATGAGAGGAAGACATTTATCCACCTATGGTGTTCTTAGGAACTTATCCAAAGGTATTATGTGGGACATGACATCAAGATCAAATGATAATTCATCCTGCTTTAGGTCACTATCTATGAACTAGAAGTACGATACTACAGCAATACAAGAGAAAGGGGAGTTGTTCTTTAGGTTGCTGGGCCTTATATTGTTTCAAGCATCATGGAGTTGAAGACCCAACATAAATTACACTTATAAACAAATTGGGAGCCTTTGAATAGGCATAATATATTTTCCTGTGAGTGGCATCATGGTCCAGTAGAACACAATATTTAGCTGAAGGTTTTGAGTGGACACTCTTATGATGAATGTATTTTAGTAACCAGTCAGTCTCAAGATAACTTTCTTATACATACAGACATTGTTCACTTATTTATATTATAGCTATGCTAGCTCATATTCCATGCACTTTATTCCTGACCAGAAATATTTTATCTTTCTATAGAGCATTTTCCACCCATCCTATTTTATTTCTGCATTAAGTGAGAAATTTCTTTTAATTTACTCTGAAAAATGACTGTAAAATGCCCATATTTACTGATATCAATTTCTTCCTGTTTTGGATTTGTAGTTGAAATTCTGGAATTGATTTCATCTTAGTAGCATTTCCCAATAGGAGATCTGTCTAATAAAAGTTTAATCTGTTCCTTGATACTTTTTTTCTCCCATGGTGGTTTATGGTTGGGTGATCACTCCAGCCATAAGAGCTTGAAAAAAATCTTCCTGCTCAAAGTGCTCTTAAAACTCTATTTCTCTGCTTGTAAGTCTCTAAGATTAAAAAAGGGTTCTTGGCTCTGAAATGAGTATTTCTCTGTGAGTGGTGTCATACTCATAGAGAACTAGTAGCCTGCCAAGTATTATTATACTGGAGAAATATTTGTGGCTAGCAGGTTTGCTTTTCATCCTGAGCTGAACAGGCAAACAGCCATAAGTCTGAAGGCTTTTTCCCATAGGGATTTGTTTCCTGGAGTTCAAAGTTACAATTAACAACTCACTGCAATATTATTGTTGTTCTTGGTGAACAATAAATACAGTGGAACCAATTGACTTGCATGACCTAATTTCACTAACCATATTTTGTTCTGTTTTCCCCCATTGTATTCAGATTAGTATTCATTGACTCTGTGCTTTCTGATCATGGAATCCACAAATGTATAACCTTGAGCAAGAAGGGACTCTGTTCCCCATATTAGGCATGTGTTACCATTTCAATATATCAGTCAAACTCTGCTTCTATTGCTTTCTGTATGAAAGACAAAACAAACCCTACATATTCTCAACCTAAGATCAAATTCTATTCCCACTGGCATCAGTGACAAAGGGCAGATCCAAGAAAAGGACCTGGATGCCTAAAACAGAACATAGGCAGCACCATGCAGAGATATCTGAGGTAGCTCAACACAACCTAGGTTGTGTACCAGAGGTGTAGGTAAGATAATTAATTCTCCCCAGAGGTCCATGCACCTGGTTTCTGGCTAAATCCTACTGAGCTCCAGGAAGTTGATGGAGTAGCATTTAAAAACCCCAAGAAGCCAATTCAGAGCATGTCTAACACATACCATCAGGACTGGGCTCTTAGGAAGTTCAGCAATAGCTGCTTTATTTCTATGAATTTCTGTTGGTATTCCCAGGTGTGGTTCCTTAGGGTCCACAGTACTTTTGCTATTTTATGCTACTATCTAATTCTTATGGAGGCAGTGGAAATCTTTGTAGACTTTACTAGGAGTTGGCTCTGCTCTTATAAAACTGTGTTGAAAGAGCATCATGCTATGGAGATCTCTGCCCCAACTTTATTTATTTCTACTTACAAGCTTTGTCCCCAGTTCAATTTTTTTGCTCAAAATTTGCAACAAACATCCACAAACTAAACCCAAACTAATTCCATTTACTTGTGAGTTTTGCACATCACTTCTGCATCTCTAGGCATGGATGGGAAGCAAAAGTAAGAACACCACATGAATGAAATGGAGGGAATGTCTACTGTCATTATTTTTTTTTCCAGAAAGCAGAAAGTTCAGGGAATCTCATGAGAGAGTCTGTATTAGAGACAAACTTTGATTCCTGTCTTATAAAGTTGAGATGATCAGAACATTTAGGTGCTATCAGATCAGACCCTCTGAATCTGCTTGGAGGCTTACCTGTTCTTAATTACAGCTCAAGTATTCTGTTCCCTTTAATGGATATTTAAGTAATTAGAAAACACAGTTTGAGTGCACCATTTTTATAATCAAAGGCACAAGTTCAAATTGGCTAATTCTGAACATCTGTGCATAAAATTGCCTTGGGTAAAAAACACTCAATAAGTGAGCAAAGCAGAGTTGAAGAAAGAGTCTGTAAACACTTCTATTTAATCTGATTGTATTTGTAGCGCTCTCTGAGAACACTGATGTACCTGAATTTCAACTAATGAGATACTAAGGGTGAAACTAATCCCAGTACAGAGGGCAAAACACAAGGTCTCCTAAGAATGTATAGGATGTTTTTGGTACCATTTCTACTGACAACGCAAAGTAAATAATTGCAAGTCCTCAGACTGAATTTGAGCTATGTTTTGCTTTTCAGTACTGTATATATGTTCTCAAATAATGACTCTGGAGCAACTTCTAAAGCAGAGATATGCATGCATCTTATTTATGGAAACATAGGGATGGTTTTCTTTACATATCTCCATTTCATTCATTCTTCAGTAAGTAGTATACTGAAAAAAAACAAACAAAAAAACCCAGTAAAGGCTGTTTCAATCAGGATAATGAATTAGTGTCATAAATCCAACATTTAACTACTTCTTGGAAAAATATGTATTGTTTTTAATATGTGAACTTCCCAATACTTCTCACTGTGACTGCTATTATGATGCGTTTAGGTTTCATAATCAAAGACCATGGGTCAACGTATTAACGCTAAAGGGAATTTCATTGTAATCTCTGAATGAGGTAATCAGTGAAGCTGTTTGATTAATGTGCCCACTTAAATTTTTCTCTTACTCTACATATAACATTTGGAATGTTACATCTGTAACTGATTGTTATTGACATATGGCAAATGAATCAATAGGCTTAAGGGAACAGATTAGAAAGAAATATTAAAAATAGGTAACAGTCGTACTTGACGGTAAGCCTTTCATGTTAAAACAATATGCTTTCATCTCAATTGCATGTAGATCACTGGATTTAATCTTGCTGAAATTCTATATGCTGCCAGTGCCCCACACAATACCCTATTGTATGAATTACTTAATCCTTATTAAACGTTTAGGATGAAATCATCCCTTT